GGGGGGGGGGTGGTGGTTCTCACTTGAGAGGTGGCTTGTAAAGTAAGCCTGGCCACTGAGAATGTTTGAGGTAAATGAGTTGGAGGACACTAAAGGGATCACTGCTGTTCGACAACAAAACCAAAACCCTTCAGGGTCCTTTGCTTATATACCAGCTTTCTTTCCCCTTTCCTGTTAAGTTCTACCAACACATAAACAGTTAATTTTGTGATCGATGGTTACTTTGTACACAGAGAAACCAGAAAATTGGGAAGAGATTTTTTTTTTTAGCAGTCATACATATTCCTAAAATGTTAAAATGCAGTGATCCTCAAAACGTGGTCCAGGGTCCCTAAGATCCTTTCACAGGGTCTACAAGATCAAAATTGTTTCATAATTCCATCTCGGCATTACTGACCTTTTAAACTCTCCCTCTCAAGTGTACACATTTAATTTTCCAGAAGCTACATGATGTGTGCTATCACAACAAAATGAAGATAGGGACAGGAAAATCCAGATCTCTTCCAATAAAGACAGACATTACAAAGATTTTCAAAAATGTAATACAATGCCACCTTTTCCACGAAAATATATTTTTTTGGGGGGGTGGTAAAGTTGTTTTTTCATAAAGGCATGCTATTTATGTTAATAACTTTATTACTGTTATTTAATAAATATATTATTTTTTCTCAGGTTTAATTTCAAACAGTAAATATCAATAGGCATAATCCTCATTAGCAAAGGACTCCTTAAGAATGAGATCAGAAAAACAAAAAACTGCTAAGAAATGGAAAAGATAAATCTTCTTCACCAAATCATCTTTTAAATGGCATTATTTCCACTTGTATTTTATACTACATCAAATTTCTCACATATGAACACATATTCATAACCTCTACATTAATCTCACATTAACAAGGATTAATGAAAGTTTCTAGAAAGCAAACATTTACTGTCACTAACATTCTACAATGAACTTTCCTTGAAAACTGATTTTCCATATCTAAGGTTAGATTTCTGTTTCATTTTTAACGGGGACAAGGAGACCTATGATACCAGACTGGGAAGACAACGGTTTTAAAATATACAAAGAATTTCTAGGGGCGCCTGGGTGGCGCAGTCGGTTAAGCGTCCAACTTCAGCCAGGTCACGATCTCACGGTCCGTGAGTTCGAGCCCCGCGTCAGGCTCTGGGCTGATGGCTCGGAGCCTGGAGCCTGTTTCTGATTCTGTGTCTCCCTCTCTCTCTGCCCCTCCCCCTTTCATGCTCTGTCTCTCTCTGTCCCCCCCAAAAAAATAAATAAATAAATGTTGAAAAAATATATACAAAGAATTTCTAAAGGGTGGCTACTTTGTGCAGATATATTTGCACATATACATGTATATGCATGTATGTAGGTATGTATGTATGTACCTATGTACATGCTCAGTTAACTGAAAAATCGTTACAAACTCAAAGCATTAGAAAATTTCTAAGCTAAAATAAACTGGGAGACATGAAATAAATACACACTATAAACTACTTCTTTCGGGGTACATTCTTTTCAGAAAAATATGCACCCTGTGCATGAGGCGCTCAAGTAACATATTCTTTGTTGAAAAAGAATTTAACAGAAGCACTGGTGTAGCACTTACACAAATACATTTTTCACCCTTTTCCTAAATAAAAAGAACCCCTGGGGAAATTAAAGGCAGAAACCAAGGCAATGTAATGTTATGGCTGAAAGGGTGGTAAGGGTTATGAGAGAGGATTTTTGGATTTTTTAAGCTAAGACTAAAAATGCAAAAGTGTCAACATTTAATACTCTCATAACAAAGTATTCACTGGTTGACTAAACTCATTATATTGGCGAATTGCATAGTAACTAATATTTGATTATGTGCCCTTTGGTAAAACAGATGAGTTAATCACTGCCTCCAAAAGCCTAACTTTCACCTTTCCTAACTCTAATAAATACTGTATACAATCTAACAGGCCATGTTGCAATTATCAATTTGAAAACAAAAAATTTTAATTCAAATCATGCACAATTTCTAGATCAGTAATACAGATGCGGTAAGAGCCCAAGATGGAGATACAAAACAACTCAAAAACCACCTTGTCTAAAATATGATATTCCTTCTTCAACTACATAATTTTCTCAAAGGGAAATCCTAAATTAAAGAGACTGCATCCTCTGAGCTGGCTAATTAAATTCTCTAGCCCTAATTTCTAATACTAAGCTTAAACAGCTTAGGAGACATTAGGAGATTTTGCCGGCAATCACTAATGAAGCAGTTTCAGTCTCTTAGAAAAATTATTTTTTAAAGGGAAAGCTTTATTTTTAAGTTCACCTTAAAAATGTCTGTCTGGGATGGAATCACTCCTACACTTCATTAATATTTGAGAGAAAGACAATGGCAAATTAATGCAAAGACCAGACTGTAAACCACAGCACACCACATAAACAACATAAAAATTTACGGAGCATGCACTGGATGGGCCCAACCAAGAGTTCCCAGCGGCATTCTGTTCAGTATCAGGTTTATTTTCTAGTTAATGCATATTCTTGCACCATTTCATAAAAGGGTCTGTATGATCACAATACCTGTGTTAGATATGAATGGCATTAGTTATTTAAAATTATTTCTGAAGAAAAGACACGTATCTACTAATTTAGCTATCTGCAATACACACTTAGAAGGAACATTAGTTTAAGGGGAATGCATTGGATTAAAAAAAAAAAAAATCACATCATTCTGTCATCTGAAATCTTGAAGTACCTACGGATTACCCACAATCACCATTACCATAATTTTCCAGAATGCGGTTCTGTTTTTTAACATGCATATGTGAGGCAAACAGCCATCAATGAACCTGAGAATTAGGGGGATGGTGGGGGAGGTAAACAAATTAACAGAATTTGATTTATTTGCACATCTGTAAAGCTGCAAGGTGCTTAGGAATTTAAATTATTTGCCCCAATCTTTTAAGTTCCACTTTCTTAAATCCCAACCTTTTCTAACAAGCAAAGGAGTTCTAGC